CCACGTGGTCCTGTCCATCAATAAACCATCTTTCCAAGCAGCCTCCATGTCTCCAGTGTCTTTTTCCCCACTTGGAGCCGAACCCAGAAGGACATTTATTTCAACAAAGGAATGAGTAGCATCATGACCAGTCTGGTTATGCTCTCTCAACATGCTACACCATGTTTCTGCTTTGCCATTCATGTATTGTGTTGAACCCAATAAGCCATAAATAAAAATGGTTTAATGCCACACGTAACCTTTAGCTATTAGCTTTTTTTGTACCTAAAGGATACATTTCAAATATTCCAATTGATTATATTCTCTGCATATTCAAATGCAAGTGTCTGAAGCAGAGAAGAATTGTTTCTGGCAGCAACTAAACAACAATATACATCAGTTACAAGAGGAGGTTCTATCTAGAACTAGAGAGACAGATGCAAAAAAAAAAACAAGAAATGGCTGAAAAGGAGTTGGAAGGCTTGCAAAGTTTCTAGATTCTCTGGATCCTAAAGACCCAAGACATCTAACTGTATGGCTTTCCATTTTAAAATGGATTGCTTTCTTTTCAGCTAGGACCTGTCACTGTGAAGAAATTCAACTGAAATTTTGAACTAATTTCTTTAGGTTTTTGGCAACTATGTCATCCAGATGCTTCTTTATATTGTCAAAGTCCAATTGGTCTGTCAGAGGTTTAAATTCAATTTTGCCTACTCAGAGTTTCATTAGCAAAGGCAACTTTCATTAAGTGAAATCATTTTTTTTCTTATCAAGGAGAGGAGCAACCCAAAGAAATCAACAGTGAGAACAATTAACCAGTGGAAGATGGCCTCCAGAAGCTGTGGGTGATTTATCATTGAAGGTGTTTAAGAAGAAAATTGACAGCCACTTGTCTGGAATGGTATAGGGTTTCCTGCTTGAACAGGGAGGTGAACAGCTGTCACCAACTGGTAGTCCATGGACCACTGGTGGTCAGAGAAAATTTTGGTGGTCTGCAGAAAAATTATTTTCATTTTTTTATATTGCACTAAATACTATCTTTTTTAAAAAAATTAATATTAGTGGTCTGCAGAATTTAAAATTGTGAATTTAGTGCAGTGGTGGGTTCCGGATCCCGTCACAACCAATACGCTGCGACGGGGCCGAGCGTCCACCTTGGGCATGCGTGCTGCACATGCATGCGCACCCACCGCCCTGCGACACTCCAGCTGGTTGTGCAGGCACCGTACGCTGCGTGCGCATGCGCAAATAGCCTGGTTGGCTTAAATACAGATAAGGAATGTACCATTCCGGTACAGTGGCCGCTGCTCCCAGCTGCCAACGGTACGCCCCTACTGAGGCATACCACCCGGAACCCACCACTGATTTAGTGGCCCCTGAGATCCGAAAGCTTGACAACCCCTGGACTAGAAGCCCTTCAAAGTTCCTTCCAATTCTGTTATTCTGTTTTATTTCTTGTGTTAATCTCATGGGGAGTCTCAGAAACACACCACACTTCACATCTGCTTGGCAAGAAACAACACTTTTTTTGCCAACTACCAGCTTCAGGAGACAGGTGGTGTTTTATGCTCTCGCCTCCTTTAATTTTGCAAATTAACAGCCTATAGTTCCACGAGTGAGATCTTAAGATTATTCCTGCTATCGATAAAACCCATTATCAGCCAGTTGTCTTGGATTCTTTCTGACTTTGCTTGTCTGAAGAGGATCACAAAAAGTGCAACTGTTGTAAAGATGAGTCAATTGCCAAGCATCCAAATTGTGATCATGGGGATGCTGCAATGGTCATAAATGGCCGTTAAAATTAGGACCCAAATTGTTGGGTGAAATCTGCTGATTCCGTAAACCGTTTAGAGAGGACTGTAAAGCATTGTGAAGTGGTATATAAGTCTAAATGCTATTGCTACCAGTATATCCTAAAAAACTCAATTAATACGTTCTCAGACAGTCCTTTGGACATCAAGTAGAGACTGATGAATAGAATAGAATAGAACTCTTTATTGGCAAGTGTAATTGGACACACAAGGAATTTGTCTTTGGTGCATATGTTCTCAGTGTACATAAGGAGAATAAATTCATCAAGAATAAAGAGATACAACACAGTGATAGTCAAGGTTACTAATGAGCTATGAAATCGTACTAGGAAACAAAAACAATATAAATTGAAAGATACAAGCAACATGGTTATAATCATAAGTGGGAGAGATAAATATTAGGAAGGAAGAGAAGAATAGTGATACAGTTCTAGTAAATTATTGACAGTGTTGTGGGAATTAGTTTTTAAGCAGAGGGATGGCATTCAGGGAAAAAATAAAATTAAACATTTTGCTTGTTGATCTACCCTTTCTCCAGGAGCAGATTCAGGAGCAGGAGGAAAATACCACACTCCTTCCATTTTGTTTTGACACGCTCACAACAGCCCTGTAAAGTAGGGCTTGAAGGTGTGGATAGAAATCAACAACACAACATGGTTTATAGAGGGACAGATCGCCCCCTGCTGCCCACTGTCAGTTATAAAGCAGCTAATGTTGCCTTCTGCAACATTTAAACGAAGCTTTATAAGGAGGTCATTGGGGTGGCGCGTAAATCAGTTTAGCACCTTCTATAATGGGGGAAAAACGAAGGAAATACTGAATCCTATTGGAAAACAAAAACTCAATGAAATTCTCCAAGTTCAGCATCCTGAAAGCAGAAGGGGGAAGGACGCAGCTCTTTGTTCTGCCCCGCCCCGCACGTCGGCGCACGCGCAGAGCGCACCTTTCTCCCCCCCCTCCCCGGTGGGAGGAGGCGGCCGGCGGAGCGCGCCGCTCGCGAGAGGGGAGGCGTGCGCGGCGCCGCCGCCGTCGGGAGCGAGCCAGCAGTGAAGCCGGCCGTGGCGTTGCGGCCCTCCTTCGCTGCTTCTTCTCCGTCTCCGTCTCCGGCTGAGCCGGAGAAGGGGAGGACGGGGCGCTGAGGGACTCGAGGTGAGTGTGGGAGAAAGGGAGAGGAGTGGGGAGGGGAGAGGTCTCTTGGCAGGTGCCCGTGTGAATGTGCGTGCACGCATTGGTGCGTGCGTACGTGTGAATGTCTATGTCTCACCACCTCCTCCTAGTGATCTCCCTATGCCCGAGTGTGGACTGTGTGTGCCTACGGTTTGTATAACCTTTATGGTCATAGTACATCATGCGAACAACGGAATGGGTTACAGAGGTCTCTGTCTCGGCTTTTGTGTCTACACGTGTCTTGGTCCATAAGTGGGTGGGTGAGCATTTGTACCACCCAGGAGGAGGTTTAACCCAGGCGTGTCTGTGGGTTGATGCTGCGAGTTATAGACCAGGGATCATCCCTCCGGCACCCAAGAAGGAGCTGCCTCTGAGCCAACACACACCCATCAGCTGCTTCTTGGGGTGCCCTTAATGCAAAGCACCCCAATGAGTGACAGGGGTCCTAAAGGTCCCCCCACCCACCCCGTTTCGC